TGGTGAGCGAAAATACATGACCACGAGCCGACCGCGACGCAGGCGAGCGTGATGGGAATGCAGAAGTTCTATGCTAGAGACGCAAAGAAGGCAGAGCTAGAGAGATCACTGGACTTGGAGAGATGCCACAAGTGCCACGCGTCGGCTCGTGGACATGTATTTTTCACGTCGACAGTACTTACTTTGCTCTCCTCTTCTCCTCCCGACAATGAGTTCGCAATTTTTTAAAAGTCGTCCGCAGGTCAAGAGGGAGCTTAAAAGGAGGGGGGGGGGTCATATTTTAAAATTTTTTGAAAATGGCCTGCAGGCCAAGAAGAAATTTAAAAGGGGGTCATATTTTTAAATTAGTTGTTATTATTCATTTTAAAATATCGACTTTTGGCCTCACAAACCAAAAACAACGGAAGTTGATTTAGTCTCGCCCCTAGCTCCACTAGTTTCTGGCATGAAAGGAGGCGCCATCTTCCCCCGCATCCTCTCCGAAAAAAAAATCCTGCGAGCAAAACTGAGCTCTAAATGTATTTAGGTTTGCTGTCGGTTCTTCGACCCCCCCCCCACCTACCCTCCTCACGTTCCTATTTTTCTGATCTTCTGTTGTGTTTGATTATGTACGGAAGACACTCTTCACCTCCATTTCTGATTTATTCTACAGTTATTTATTAAAACGTGAAATTTTAGAACTTTTTCAGTTTTATGGTCTTTAGTCTTTTTTGCCTCAGAAGAATCACGGGAGTGACGCAGTTCTAATCGATAATTCGACTAGCATATTATTGCTATCCAGGAATAATTTCGGTCTGTAATAAGGAAAAATTTTGTCGTAAAAAGGAAAACATCTTAGATTGACCAAAAAACGTAGCAGGCATGATTCCAGCCACGTGATTGGTGGGTTGTTGGGTCCCGCAGCGGGAATTACTTCCAAAGCGATTGTGTGATTTCCTCACATCATAACGTGACCACGACAGTACTACCTCTCTTCCCACATATCTTTATAGGTTTTACATTGTTTTCTAGGAAGAAAATTGAATTAAAACCGGTCCGGCCATTTATTTTGTCGAGCCCCTCTAGACGCTAGGACTCATGGATTCATGCATGTTACCTACCGCAGAACAGCCGAGTGTCCAACAGCTGGAAACTTTGTTGTAATGGTGTTATCGGCGCATTGATTACCGCATTTTTCTCCGGCTAACCGTGCCTGATCCGCCTCACAAAGCGCCTATGTGGCCAGGAGCTGTATAGCCCGATGGACTGTCTGACCATAGCTCATCACCCTTGAGAGTGTAGATCCCCGTAATACGTACTCGAGAGCCGGATCACTATCAGCATGCTCGCGTTTTTCTGTTGGTTTAGTCGCCGAAATCCCCGTCGGTTCGCCGCCTGTCGCCTGAAATCCAAGCGCTCGTCTCGGAGCTCATGTCATCTCACACCCGAGTCGGCTTTACACTGGCCCGCTCGGCCCAAGACTATCCGAGCAGGCCTTGTGGAATGCACCAAACGCACTCTCACAGCACTCTCAAGTGTCCAACGACTTTTCTCTTTACAAACGCCAAAATGTTCTTTGCTGGCCTCACCCACAGCCCCATTGTTCCATTATTTGTGCATTCCTCGGCGCCTACTCGTCGACTAATGAGTTTCAGAGCCACTGAATGGATCCAGATGACGATATTCAGCGTTTCTGTTTCTTTATGTGAAAGAGAATAGTGATCGCTGCTGCTTTCAGACCACTTTTCTCTGCGTCTCTCCGTCACCCGCCATCACTCTCACTCTTGTGTAAATACATTCAGTAAGGTTTTTATCAAGTAGCTATGAAGCTTCACTGAAGGCTATTATGTTACAGTGAAAGCATCTACCTGCGACGAGCTGATAATCTATAACCTATAACCCCAGCCCCGCCCCCGCTTTTTTACGTAGAAACCTTGCTGTACATCTCTGGCGAAAGTCCATGTAGAGTCCTTTGCAATGACAAATTAATATCCTGAAACGGCAGTTCACTGAAACATACATTTGCCGCGAGACGTTTGTAGACTTCGCGCGGCCTGCGACACGTGTGTCGCTCCCCGGCTTCGGTTATTATTGATCGAAGCGCGTTTGCCGTGACGCGTTACGTGCTGTGTTAGTGAGTTGCATTCAATTTACCATCGAAAATGGGTGCGAGACATGATGTCGTGAGCAGTCAAGGGCCGGCGCCGCCGTCATTGGTTGGCGCCGCCCACATTGGGAGTGGCCAATCAATGACCGCGGCGCCGGCTCCTGCCTACTCACGACATTATGTCTCGCACCCATCGAAAGTGAAATTAATAGCGGTCTTATAGTGAAAATTTTGACGCTTTTAGAGTAATGTGTTAATGATTGGTTACTCATCGATTATTGGTCATGGCTTCCGTGTCTATTCTAAAAATAAACTTTATGTAGTAGAAATACCTTTCATGTCCTCCTTTCATAGAACCTAAACATTGGTCCTAAAGCCCTATAGACTTCCTCGCAAATCCACTTTGGATTGCAGATTTTCACATGGGCTCGGAAATTCTCGCACACTTTACGCCAATGCGATCTCGTAAATAACTTTGGGCTCACTTTTCACACAGTCATTTCTCACGCACTGTCATGAGCGTACGCCCTTTGGTTAGGGAATTTTCTCCGAAATTTCCGTTATGCGTTTGCTGTCGTAGCGCTTTCCTTCTGCACTTTTTTGGAGTGATGGTCAGATTTGTCTCTTTGACGCTCGTAGAACCTTGCAAAACCGCTAGCTTTAACCTGGATTCGAACCTGTGACCTCTTGTGTGGTAGTCAGCTGCGCTGGCACTGCGCCACAATCGCAGTGTCGAGGGAAGATATATGCGTTGCTTCCTTTATTACCTAAAACTTTTCATAACTTCTTACCAGTGTATGTTGGGCAGCTGAAGTTTTTGAAAAGCACTATCAGCGGTGATCCCTATAAGGTCACACATTCCTTTTCCTGAATTTTGACGACCACTTTAACAACTCCGTCGTTATTCAGTACCATTCGGTCCACCTTCTTCGTGCACTTAGTAG